GTGTGCAAACACACACCACATGTGTGCAAATACACACTAAATCCGTCCAAATACACACTAAATCCGTGCAAATACACACTAAATCCGCGCAAATACACAGTAAATGTGTACAAATACACACCATATGTGTACAAATACACACTCAATGTGCACAAATACACACTAAATGTGTACAAATACACACTAAATGTGTGCAAATACACACTAAATGTGTACAAATACACAACACATGTGTGCAAATACACACTAAATGTGTACAAATACACACTACATGTGTGCAAATACACACAAAATCCGTGCAAATACACGCAAAGTCTGTGCAAATACACACAAAATGTGTGCAAATACACACTAAATCCGTGCAAATACACACTTTTTGTTTCCACATTTATTTTTATATTGATACCTTTTTATTTTTTTTTTGATCCTGAAGTTTTTTTTGATCCTTTTTTATTTTTTTTTTGATCCGGCAGCCGTGGCCATATTAAGGTTGTCATTGCGGTTGACCATGTCCCGACCAAGTTTATGTTGTTGCTGTTGGTCAATGTCAGACACCATTCAGAATTCGGTGATTGTTATGTCGGGTCCGTACACATACACATTTACTTTTGTTGTTCTGGATATCCATCCAGATGTAAGATGATGTTCCTTTAGATGAATATTCATTCGCAGTCATTTTGTTTTCCTCTGGGTCGATACTAATCCAACTTCAGTTTTATCTATCCAAAAAACCATTTGAGCATGCTCATGCTGCGAGTCAATACCCAATTAAATCGTCGCTATAGTTGATGTTGGTGTGGGGCGATACCCCATCCGAATTCATTTGTTATATGTGCCCATATCCATCTAAATTCAGTTTGTTGTTCGTGTGGTTCAATACCCACGTAAAACATTTCTGCGAGTCAGTTCCCACGTAGAATTTAGGTTGTTTCTGTTGAGGTTCGATACCTATCAAAAAACAGTTTTTGCTGTGGGCCGATATCCTTCCAATTCCAATTTGTTGTGCTTGTGGGTCAATACCCATGTAAATTCAGGTTGTATTCGTTGTTGAGGTTCGGTACCAATCTAAATTCAAGTTGCATCATCATGGGTCAATACTTATCCAGATTATATATATATACATATACATATTGTCTCTTTTGGTATCCGAAGTCATTACCAATCCAAATCCAAGTCTAGATGTTGCGGGTCAAAAGCCTTCTCAATTGATTCAGCTCATTTGGGTCGCTGCCCATCTGATTATCTTTCGTATATGGATGGGTCAACACCCATCCATATTAATATTCGTGTTGGCGAGGCTCTACAGGAAACAAATTCCACGATTTGCTCTTGGGTGCTAATGCCCATACAAATTCAATCTTGTTGCCGTCCAAATACAGTTGATTAGTTTGGTGGACTACTATTGTGTAGTTTGGTATTCATTTGGAACATTGCCTATCTAAATTGACCTAGCTACAAGTGCCTAATTGATGCTGAGGGTCAGAACCGATCGAAACTCCGTTGTCTACGTCGTGGGTGAACTCACATCCAAAATCATGTAGTTCTTATGGGTCAATGCCCATCCGAATTCCTGTTTTTGTGGGACATGTCAATGTCAAGTCAATACTCTAGTGGGTCGCCACATATCCATAGTCAACTTGCTGTTGTTGCAAGACAATTACCATTCCAATTCATTCGTTGTTGCAGGTCAATGTCATCCAATACTGTTTTTTGTTATGGATCAATGTCCATCCAAGTTCATTCGTGTGGTTGCGGAATAGTATAGATTTAGATTCACTTTGATGATATTGCGAGTCCATACGCGTCCGAATTCAAGTTGATGTTGCCATGGAGCAAGAAGGAACCAATGGTTTTGATGGATGGTCAGTACCGATCCAAATTTCATTTTTGATTCTTGAGAGTCATTACCATCTAACTTCATTTTCTTTGTATCATATGTGCGACTGGTATAATGAGCCAGCATCTATGAAAGGCACTTTGTTAGTTATTGGTAGCGAAGAATACTCATGCCCATAAAATGCATACATATCATAAACCGATTGCATTCAACTGCTATGGAAACTGAACTTGGTATGATTACATATCGACATATGCATATGGAAACTGGCATACTGCAGTTCCGAATCGCTTAAACCACGCAAAGAAAACACGTATGTCACGAAAACACGGGCCTGCATTCCGTTACACACACACACACACTCTCTCTCTCTCTCTCTCCCTCTCTCTCTCTCTATATACATATATATATATATATATATATGATGCAGGGCTGCCACACCCCCCTCCCACACCCCCACCCCATGGTATCCTCCCGCCGTACCCCCCCGCCCCCCCTGTGGTGTGGGGCCTGTGGTGGTATTATGTGGTATTCTTTTTGCCGCGACGTTCTTATGTGTTACTCCTTGTCTTCCCTCTTGCTGTCTGTGGCACCGGTGATACTGCTCATGATGTTGTGTTGCTCTAGACCGGGACATGAGTCGACAATCAGACCATGCTCAACATCATCCTTGTCGTCCCCATTTTCATCATAAAGTAATACCATCAAAACCATATCTGCCACCATCACCATCGCCATACAACTCTCATAATTCAGCATTGCAATTCATGTCAGATTCTGGAAACTACTGCGCCGATTGCCGCTTTCCGCACACGGCAGGGCATAGTGCGACACCCCCGATCTGCGCACGGGGTGGGCAGGTGCGGGTCGGGGGTGGGCCGTGGCGGGCGGGGCTGGGTGGGCGGGCGTGCAGCAGCGGGCAACATGGATGGGGGGGGGAGGCTGGGATACCATTGGGGGGGGGGTGGCGGCCCGGGACCCGAAAGCATTTATGTACACGATGTCTTTGGCTCACCTTGTGCACGCGAGCAGGTAGGCGGGCGGCCACGCACACGCACACACGCACACACACACACGCACGTACACACACACACACACAGACGCGGGCACACACCCACGTGCGCGTGCCAACTAGCTGAGGTCTTCAAAGGCTTCAAAAGCAGAGTCTGTCGAATCAACGCCAGAGCCCAAGCACAGCAATCGCAAAACAGTCTTCTCCGGCTTTCGGGATGGCGCAGTCCAGTGTTGGTTTGGCATGTTCAACTTCCGATGCCAGAGCTTCGCAGCAACCTTGGAGCCTGGAGCTTTGTAGAACGCGCCAAGATGCCTGCATTCATCCATGCCGCTACAGAATGCTTTTGCCTCAGGCCCAACGCATGTCGACACTTCTTCTCAGAGAAAGGCACGTTCTCTCTACGTGGTGTTGCGTCGTCAGTAAATGTCATTAACATGTTGGCCGAGGCCTTCAGACCGTACTCACATTGACTGTGCTTTCCTGTGCCTTGCAGCTTCACCAGACGGAGATCCCTAAACTAAACAGTGCTTCAGCAGTACCTTCGCCCATAACAGGCTGCTCTCGTGGAGACAGCTGTCGCTTCTCCCATGCACCGGGCAATGCCAGAGTGAAGAAAGGAGGGTCGGTGGGTGAAGCAACAGGAATAGTAGCAATTGATGAAGTATGTCCAAGATGATGCCACAGTGTGCTGTGCTCGTAGGGAGTAGGAGGAGAGGAGTAGAAGTGGAAGTGGAAGTAGTACCTGTGGCATTTACATTTCTTAAAAGGGCATATTTGCCACCACCAGGTTGCACTAGCTACCAACACACAGCAATCAACGGAGCTTCCCGGTCCCAGAACTGTTTTTGGGTGGGGTTCTTTGCCAAGATGGGCTTTGACGGCTTTCACTGTCGAACATCCGAGGTTGGTCAGGGTAGTTTTGTTGCGTAAACCGTGCAGTACACCCCAAAAGAAGCCTGCGATTGACGGCCCGAACATGTGCAGCTAGAGATTGTGTGTTAAGTTTTTTCCGAGCTTACAGACTTACAGATCAAGCAACATGCGCTCCTGGAATCGTGGACGCTAACGCAGACTTTCTGGAATTAAAGACTTCAGCGCTGCCCCGCTTGAAGTACTAGAGGCGGGTGCACAACATGCGCTACTGGCGTGGTCCATCACTTTCTTGCCTCGAGCTGTGCTTTTGCATGCATCGCTCGGCTCGACCCCACTGTAGAATCCGAACAGCCTCGGGGCCCTCCGGTTTCACCCCCGAGCACGCGGAGGCTGGATCCATTTTGTTTTCCGCTCGGAACACTTCAGAAATAGGAATGGTGAGCAGTTTGAGTTTGACTACAACGCCCTCCTCTGTGTTTTCGGTCGCCCTAAACGGAGAAAAAATGTCACGGCTCCAGAGTCCAAAGCTCTATATAGCGAACAGTGCTGCGGCAGGGCCGCCGATGGCCGCGGTCGAGGCCGCCGCTGAGGACCCAGGAGGCGGTGCAGCAAAGCTGCATGTTCCGTCGAAAACGGTTTCGCTCAAATGCGAGAGAGCTCTACGGTTTTTGGTGTGCTTGTGTAAGGATTGTAGGTGTCGGAACGATATCAATGACGGGCTCGAAGGTGTTGCATGAGACATGTCACTCGACGTTCCTTAGAGGTTTGCTTTGAGATACTCGGAGTGCGGATGTAGCGCTGATTTTCAGAGATTTGAGGCCTTTATGCCGGGCCCAGACGTGGACTACCAAGTTCGCTTCGATCTGGCTGTCATCTTTAAAGGTTAAGTGGTATGGACAATGTGGACAGAGCTATAGTGCCGCCTCAGTGTCAGGCAAAGCTCTCCAGTCGAAACATGACCCAGGCCTTACTTAGGCCTCAGGCCTTAAGTGAAGGCGATTGAACTCCATGCGCTTTGTGATAGTATGGACCTGTCGCCACCCACGGCCAAAGCCAAACTCTTTGCCTGCCTGAACAGGGCTTGATCTGCTCGAGGCACTGCCGACAGCCTCGTCGGCACCCACACCTGGTCCAAGCCACAGGGCGACAAGCAGCACGAGAACTTCAGGCCTAGAAGCCAACTCTAAGTACAGTAGTTTCGAAGGCGATTGAGCCCATGTCATACGCGGTTTGTCCTTTGCCAATTATCTGTGGATCCATCTGGCAGGTATAACAATGTTCGATTCCTGCAAGAGCAGAACAAGGAGGTACATGTACAATGTACATGTGCCACGATCCGTGCGGCCGTGACACGTGCACCGGTCTTGAGTGCTTGTCGAAGTGTCGAACGGTTCTTGCTGCGTGGGCTCATGCCAAGCGGAGCATATCCCAAGAGCCCCATTGTTGTTCCCCGAGCGCGTCGGGGAATGATCCCGTCGCCTCAAAGTGTAAGGGACACTCGGGAGCTGTAACAAGAAACAAGGCCCTTCAAGCCTGGGCGTCCTCATTGATCTCCGTGTTACAGGCGACCAAAGCGCTCGACCGAGTGGAGGAGGCCATAACTCGCCAGTGAGTTGAAGGCATGTGACGTCGGAATGTTTTGCAAGTTCTTCTGGAGGCACAGGGTAAGTCGCCCTTCAGCCCTCCAGCAGAGTGAACACCGAAAGAATGAGCGTGAGAGAGGGAGGGGGAGACAGTGCGAGAGAGCCAAGGGCCAATGCCAAGCATAAGAAAGTTGTCAAAAAAACCCATGCCAAGCCCGAAACACTGATTGTCGCCAGGAGCGCGATGAAGCCTTCGCGGCCATCGCGCAGTGGGAGGCAGGCCTTGCAGCCGAGAGCAGCATGCTTTTCGTTGGCAAGGAAAGTATCCGCCTGCTCTCCACTTGCAAATCCGATCTCCTAAACACCCTGCACATCACCAGTTGCACAGCCACGGTCAGGAGCGGCGCCAGCATATCCAGCAGGAGTACCAAAAGCTCCAGCAGGAGCTGGCAGACACGGAGGCGCCGGCACCGCGGATTACTTTGATAAAAGTGGCCGTTGGGTGCGGGGCTAACAGTGCTACCGGCTGACGGAGTGAAGAAACCCCTTGACGGACGGGCCTGGGAGCAAGCGGCTAGGTTCGCCTCAAAGTGGACGAGTGGGCTCGCCGTTTAGAGTTCCGTGAATTCTCGGGATATGTGCAAAGCACAGAAAGTTTGTTGCTGGCCCATATGTGCATCCATCTCATGAGAGTTTAGCTTGTGCTGATACAAGTGTAGCAGTTGCGAAATCGACAGGCTTCTCGCAGAGTGACGTCTCACCGGGCAGATGTGTGCGATGCCGTCGTAGCTGGCAGGAGAAGTGCAACATCTCTGCTGCTGAGATCCACAAGCCTCTCAGCTGCCATCGTTGTGCTTTGGCAGCCATCAAAGCTGAAAGTGAGTAAAGAAGCTTCTGGGTCAGTCCCGGTACACACACACAGGAAAATCAGTTGCTAGCGGCTAGCATCTTAGGCGGCCGCGGGAAGCTGAACTTGGCACCTGCTAATCCAGGAGAGATGTTTGTGCCAACGACGCCAGGCGCGACGAGCAGATCCGGGTCCTCTCCGAGCAGAACCGCTCCCTCCTGGATCGTGATAGCATGCGTGACAAGCGGCAAGCGCGCTTTTTCGGTTCAGACCGACGTAGAGGTTGATCCCTTGAAATTGCATTTGCGGTTTGCGGTTCCGTGCCGCTTGGAGGATATGCTCGAGGAGGAGGAGCGGACCGTCAAGGAGCGGCAAACACAGGCCTGGCGTTCGACAGCAGCTGCAGTTCGAGAAAAAATAACGGCCAAAGCCAGCACGAAGAATGCTTCATCCCAGCCGACTACCAAATTACACCGGCACGGCCCCCCTGGCAGGCACAAGAGCTCATGATCACGCAGGCGCGCCCACTGGGTCGAGGTCGGTCTGTGCATTTCAGGAACAGCGAACCTTCAGAGGGACCCTGCATTGTCCTTCGATTTCATGCTTGCACATACCCGACGTGGGCCCATGCGGCATTTTCTTTGACCTGAGGAGCTGGTGGGAGGGTTTGGGATGGGATTATTCGAGGCTCCAAGGTCAATACAGTGACCCGTTGCAGTCCATGGGCATTGTTGTGTTCTGTAGAAACAGATTTGGTTCCTTCCAAATACTCGGTCTGTACACTATGGCACGAAGAGGTGTGAATGTCACCCGTTACATGGTCAACAGCTTCCTTGGAGGATTAGATCTTGGTGCTCATACTCCGTAGAATTAAAGTGAGTGACTCCAGGATCGCCTTCAGAAGATCTCTGACGAGTACAACCTCGTGAAGGCAACAGGCCTGGCCCGCAGAAGCGCCTTCGAGGCCTCGGAAGGCCTTGCGAGATCATGTTACCAGCCAGGTCAGCAGCAGCTGCTGGGAGCCTACAACGAGATCGCCAAGTTCGAGGAGGCAGAAGTGCATGTTGAAACCGCCTCCCTCGCTGTGACGCAATTGAAGCTTTAGGATACTGCCGGTTGACTGCTTTGACAAATGCATCAACCGTTTGATTAACTATAAGTAAGTAACTCGTTCTTTAGCTGATCAATGAAGCGTGCAAGCAAACCTGTGATCGATGCCATCAAGGAAAACAGCAGTCCTGGTAAGCGCCTGGCAGCCAGGAGCTACGAAATGCGCAATCCGAGACGGGGCAACTCAAGGAGGCACTGCGGCACAGTAAATGCTCGTGGACTAGCTCAGGTTTCATGCCAGGATCGCGGATCGTAAGTCTGAAATCAAGGCCTGCTGAGATTCACAATCTGCTTGCAGACATTGTGGACCTGGGCATGAGAGCTTGAAGTGCCCCTGTCAGATACCCGGCATGTTGCAGAGGCCCACACAGGTCATGCCACCATATATCACCTCCAAGCGGTAGGACAGCAAACGAAGACAGTTGACTTAAGACTGCATCTTGTGCTGTGGACCCAGACTTCCGTCTCCCCAGGCAGAGCGGAACTTCAGCGCTCAAGCCAAAGCTGACATCGAGGCCAGGATGTGGACTCTTCCACCCTTCAGGCGAAGCTGGAGCCAGCTTCAGCTTGAGAACAGAGGGCGTCCGGAGTCGAGTGGATACGATAGTACCATACCATGATGCTGCACGGAAACCGTGATCCTTGTCTCCCTGAGGCCTTGGAGTCCAAGCTGAAGGAGTCCAAAGACATGCGACTGAGCGAAGGTGGTTTGCAAAGTTGGTAGGTCGCTCACGTCGAACCAGCAGCCGAGGAATGTCCAGTATCTCCAGCAGATCCAGCATAACGAGGCCCGGTCATTCTTCATCGCTTGCTTCCGAAAGACCGTGGCAAAGTGTGTGAAATTCTGCCATAGTCTGCCAGGTCTACGAGCATCGTTTAGCAGAGGCGTGTTTCTGGGAAAGCTACGCTTTCACGACCTGGGCCCTTACCTTTCCGTGACAAGTACAGCTTCGCCGCAGGCGATCAACAGACTTCGGGAAACTTTGGACGAGCTGACGGTCCAGAAGAAAGGCATAAAGCGAGGGCCGTGGTGTGTACGCTGTAAGTGCTTTGACAGCGTCTCCCACTACCACAACGAATTGAAGCGACGTACTGTCGTGTCCCAGGCTCGCTAGGGCGTAGGGTCTGTCAGCATCACTCAGGTCCCTCGCTTCGGTAGAAGACTGGAAGTTTCAGAACACATTTGCAGAACTTGTGCTGACCTTGTGCCTGGCGTGCTGGCCTAGTTTCGCGTGTTTCCGAGGATGCAGCTGGACATGGACGCGGACAACCGCGACAAGTGGATGTTGGGAGCTTAGGTTTTTCGTCTTGTGGCTGAGAAGGTCTCCTTGCTTCTACTTCCCAGGACTTCCCTTCCCTCCGCTATGGCAGTTACTCACGCATTGGAGATTGGAAGGGCATGCAGCTGTAAATGGTCGAATTGGATTCACCTGTGTTGTTCTTATAATGCCGTCACAAACGCCGGGAAACGCATAGCTTGTTTTGCAAAACAGGACTCCTCGTTCCGAGACACTCAGGCAGAGTAAAGCCGAGGTGGAAAGACGGAAGGCGACGCGAATGGGTTTGTCGTAGTGGAATTTTTGGTGGAACTTCCATAGACGGGAGAGTGCTGCAAAATCATTCAGCGTCATTGTTCGTGCTTCAGGCATGTTTTCCGGCGTCAAGTCATATCACCTCATGGTTGCTGAGCCGATAGCTTTGGGCTTGTTTTTCATGGTCGCCAGTCACGCTATCCTTTTAGACATAGGGAACTGAATAAGTCTTGTGAACACGAGGTGGCGAGCTCCAGCTTTAGCTGCCACCTGAAAGCCCTCACTTGCTTTCAAAGCCCCAAAGCCTCTAAGCTCCCCAGCACACCGCCACACCGCTTCAAAATCCTTCAGTCCTTCGCTCTGCTTGGAAGGACGGCCTCGAGAAGATGGCGGATGCCTTGCGCCAGTCCTTGAGGGACGCTGAGGACCAGAACACGAAGATGCAGGCGCCGCAGCGGCTTGGAATGGGAAGTTCATGAGTAGAGTTTCTAGATGGATCCGTGAGGCATGCTGGAGAGACTCGATACAAAGCGTGCCAGTTGTGGAGAGTAGACAGCGCCAGGAAGAGAACAAGGCGGGTGCCGATAACTTCAGGCCCGATTGCCGGCGTAAAGAAGCCTGGGTCGTGGGCAAAGAGCAGTCTCGGCAAAACTTGCAGTGCTTGAGCTTATAACTCGACGAGTACCATGTTGCTCATTCGTTTGCAAATGTCGTAGCATGATTCGGCGGAAGAGGGGGAGGCGGAAGAGCGGAGGCAGACGGTAGGACTTGCTGTCGCAGCAGCAGCAGCAGCAGCAATACTTGTCGCCGTCGCGCTTTTGAGAGCTGGGCGGGATGCCAGATCCAGCATCCACGTTCGCGGGGATGTGGATTGGCATGGCTGTATCCAAGGGGCTCTGTGACTTCAGATCGCACTTCAACGATCGAAGATCGGGGTTCCTTGTGCTTCATTCTCAGATGCTCAGAGCACGGAAGACGGCGGAAGTTCTTCGTCTCATGGATTTCTCCTTTTGCAGGCAGCTGGGCGATAAGGTTTACGCCTTGATGGACCAGCTGCGGCAGCACCAGGCCGCAGTGACAGTAGGCAGCGAGGAAGCGGAAGGGGTTTGTTCCGGATCCGTAGTACCGTGGCAAACTTCGGATGCATGACTTGCGGCGCATCGCAGCATTGGTTGCTAGGGCAGAAAATTGCTGCAAGCTCTGACAGCAAGCGTGGCACGACTCGAGATGTGCGTTTGTTCAGACCGACCTCAAGAAGACAGAGGCGGCAGGTGTGGAGAAGTGCCAGAGCTCAGCTAGATACTGGGCAAGGGGTGAAGGCTTCAAGGCAGGAAAGGCAAGATTGAGGCTGCGTGAAAATGCACTTCGCTGCAGTGTGAAGTTGTTAGGGTTGAACCGTGTGGGGTGTTATAGAAAAACTAGGGTCTGGCAAGAGTCCTGTCTGCACAGCTCTCAAAGGCAGAAGAAGATCGGCTCCTTTGAAAAGCAGTCGCAGGACTGCTGGAGCCCTGGGTTTGGTCGGATTCTGGGCTCAAGTCGGGGCCTTTTCCCTTTCGATGAGAACCCACCGGCTTCTCCAACAGTTGTCCATACGTGTAGGAAGCGTTCAGTGCACGCTGTCTTCATAGCTCAACCACTTTCTCACTCGCCCGTGCTCTACTCTGTGCGTCGCTCCGCCAGAATCTTCAGCAACAGCTGCAGATGGAGGCCTGGTGCCAGAGCTTGATGCACTGGATGTTCTAGATTCTAGGTTGCTGTCATGGAGCAAAACGCAGCAAGACCCTGCGACACTGCTTACAAGGACCGGCCCGGAGAGCCAAAGATAAGGGATTTCGACATGACGCGTCCGTCGTTGAAAACGCGTCGTTTTGAAATCATTCTTTGCAAAGGTTGTCTGATTCCTTGGCTTCCGCCATGTTGTCCGCTTCTGGCGGCCAGGGACAAGACTGGCAAGAGCGAACCTGTTTCCCAAGGTTGATGCCAAGCTGGCAGCAGAGGCCGAAGCGCGAAATGCCGCGCAGATGCAGGCGCGGTGACCGGCATGCCTTAGTCTCCTCACGAGACAGGGGGTGTCAAACGGATTGCAGATGCAGAAATGGACAAACCAATGTGCCATCGTCTCACTTGCAGCCGCCTTGTTTCCCGTCAAGGCCCTGCTGCAGAAGAAGAACAAGATGCTCGAGGAGGCTCTCCAGCTCGCGCTCAAGGCGCAGGAGAAGGCCGGACCACGCGGGCCTTCCCTCGACTTGCAGTGACTGCGATCAGTGATAGGTGGAGAAGCGCCTTCTGGAGCTGCGCGAAAAGACCGAGGCGCGGCGCAGCGCCGCAGCGCGCATCCACGTTTCAGTCCTGGAACCTTCCAACCTGCAGAGTGTGCCAGGCTTTTCCCGGTTGCAAGCATCTGCAAGCAGAACATAGCAGACCCTCGCTCGCCAAGCCTATCCAAGTTCAAGTGGGCTGGGCCTCCCCCTGTCATCTGGCTATCTGAGCGCTATCTAATCTAAGACTGTGCATCGCTGTGCTTCCTGCGCAGCAGTGCATTGGGAAGAGTGGTTGCTCGCAGGCGCTGCAGACACAGAACGACTACCTAGGAACGATGCTTGTCGGCAATTTGAACATGGATTCACCGGCTTTAGAGGTCAAGGGTTTCTGCAATGGCTTCGCATCCTCAACTCCGTTTAGCCAGTTGGATGTTCTGCAGGAGTTGCACAGGTGCTGCATTTGACCGAACCTCAAGCCCAGAAAACTGCACTCGACATGTTACAGCAGAAGTTCTCAGCATCCATTCAAGGCGCATTGACGGCAATGAGGAGGACAAAGGTGCCCTGAGGCCAGGCATTCTTCGGTTGTACTTTCCGGATTTTGGAG